TTAGTATTAACTGTAAATTTTGATGTACAATAATACATCAATAATACAGTATTACAGCACTAATATAACACAAGCAATGTATTTGTAATCAAACTATTTTCAATAACTGTTACGATTGTTAGCAATAATATCGCTATCCGTCCAACCAAACGGTTTGACCTAAATGTAAGTTAGCACACAAACACAGGTATGCTATTAAATTGAAGATTACGACTAACTGTTCCCAATTGATTATCCAATGGTCAACATTAGTATTATAGGATTAATAATGTTATTAATAAAAGATTATAGATTGAATTTTTATTTTGTGTACAGTAATTATACTAACTAATTCAATTTAATTGAACAATACATTTTTTTAATTAATAAAATACTATACTAAATTATTAATTAATTAATTTTTTTTAGCTATTTTTATAACATTTGTTAACTAGTTTATTTAATATTGCACAAATAAAGTGTTGCAAATTGTATGTCAATTATTTTGTTGTTGAAAGTTTTATCAAGTTTATTGGTCATTGAAACCAAATAATTTAACTTAAAAATTTACTAAGTTTACTTTATGAAAGCTTATTTAAGTGATATTGAATTGAATTGAAATTATTATTTATTTTATTTATTTTTTATAATGATTTTCTGCTACAAACTTAATCTGATACTGTAATAAAACAATAAATAAATATACAGTATATACTATATATATATCCATTAAATAAATATGATAAATATTTATATTGTAAGTTAACATTATCATTATATATACAGTATATATCATATATCATATACAGTATTATACTATCGTATATTATAAAATATAGTAAATTTTTAAGAGCTTTTAGATTTAATATTTTAATATTTTGTTTTTTATCAAATGATAATAGCAATAGCAATAATAATAATATTGTATATAAATATTTTTGGTAACAAAACTGGTAACAAAGTTTTTTTAAATAAAAAAATTGCTCGATGCTATTATATTGTAAATGTTTAAATATAATATTATGACTAAATTATTATAGAGTCTATATTATAGACTCTATAATATACAGTAGACTACAGTAGACAGACTAGTCTAAAATGACAACTCACATGTGTGTCTCATTTTATTTAGATTTTACTAAATATAATTTATAGGTTATTAAAATTTTTTAAAAAAATATTTATCATGCTTGATTGGATAATAATTAAAATTAAAAAGCTATATACTGCATATTAGAGGGGGGAACCGAAGAGTTTTTTAGGAACCGCAACCGAACCGTATCTCAAAGTCAAGAACCGAACCGAACCGAAACCGAAAAATCTAAAAATCCTAAACCGCAACCGAACCGTTACTAAAAATCAGGAACCGAATGAAACCGGAACCGAACCGTAATCTTACATAAATAACGTTAATAATATTAAGGGGGTAAAAAGTGGGCTTAAAATTTAAAAAATTGATTTTTATATTTTTATTTATTGTTATAAAATACAGTTATAATTAAATTAGTATAAGTTATAGTTATTATATTTATTATAATATATAAACTTATAAATATAATTTTATAACTAAATTAATAATTAATTAAAATAGAAAAATTTTAGTTAATAAATAATTAAAAGTTATAAATAATTATTTTTTAAATGCAATTATAATATTAATATAAAGTAATAATAGTTAAATAAAAATATTTAATAATATTAACAACAGTATTTCTAAAGATAATTTTATTTGTGCTATTAATTTAAACTCAAATCGGTTTTTAATTAAAACCGTTTTAAATCTAAAACCGTTTTTAAAGCCGAAACCGTTTCTAAAACCGGAACCGTTTTAAAACCGAAAGCTAAAAACAAGAACCGCAACCAAACCGGACCTGAAAAACAGGAACCGAACCGAACCGAAACCGAAACCGAAACCGAAACCGAAACCGAAACCGAAACACAAAAACCAAAACCGTGATAAAACCGTTTCGGTTCCGGTTTCATTCGGTTTTATGAAACCGAACCGTTTCGGTTCCTCCCTCTACTGCATATATATATAATAAATATAGAAATGTCAGCAAATCTGCAAAAAAAATGTTATTTTAATATTTAAAAAAATAATTTTGAATTTTAATAATAATCTGTTTATTTGCAAATAAATGCTTATTTATCCAACATTACTATGAAGTTTAAATAATTATTTTTTATCTTTTTTGAGAAAAAACAATTTGATTGAATGTTAATGTGGTTTATAATGTTATTACTGAGAATAAAACATTTATTTATGTCAAATTAATTTTTTTACAACAAAATTTCAGTTAAATACGTTTATTTTTTACATTTTCATCAAATTTATTTATAACATATATTAATTTGTCATTTCTCACTAATATTTTAATAAACATTTAAATAAATAGAAAGACTGCAAAATATATATATAAAAATCTAATAGTTTTTATTTAGAAATACATATAAATATAATGCATTATTTTTATAATATTCCATACAATAAGTTATAATTTTTTTTATAGAATATTCTATATTTACTATTCAGTATATATATAGAAATAGTGAATAAATTAGTCTAAAAAATGCGTACAAATTGTCAAAAAAAAAGTTTTTAGAGACACAAACTCCACCCAAATAGACAATAATAAGCAAATAATTATAGCATCAAAAACACTTGTAGCTAAGCGGCTAACCAACTAAGCAGAAACATAATAGATATTACTAAACATTTTCAATAATTATTTTTATATAATTTTATTCTAACACTTTGGCATAAAAAATATGAATATTATTATTTGATTGTATGTTATAATAAAATTGTAATATATAAAGTATAATTTATATATTGTGTTAAGTAAAGTAACATTTCATTAGATTATTTCAAAAATCATATGGAAGTTTCATATTATTAAATATATTTTTTTTAATCACAACTATTAAAAAAAATTAATTATATAATAGTTATATCTAAACATATTTTAAATATTAATATTATTATTTTATGCTAAATGAAAATGAAAAATTGAAATCTTATTTTTATTATAAAAAATATTACATAAATCAGCACTATTTTAAATATAAAAAATGAATACTATTAAAGTAACTAGGTTATGTAAAGGTTTTTATTAGAACATTAATTAGATTATTATTATTATTATTATTACTTTATCTTTTTATCTATTTATCTTTTTATTTAGATTTACAATTTTTTGTATATTTTTTTATTATTTGTTACTATAAAATATTAATATTATAATTATTTTTTTTCTCTATAGTGTATTTGATGGTATTATTTTTTACTAAACATTCCACCAATTTATCGATTTATATCAATACAAAAGTGATATAAAATTAGAAAACGTATTAAATTGTAAGTAAATATTTATGATTTTTTAGTGTAATTATATACAATTCAATTAGTCTTATAAATTATATAATTATTGTAATTCAAATTAAATGAATTCAATTAATAATAATGTGTATGTGGGTGGCATATATTTTAGTAAATAATGTATCAAATTGATACTAAGTAATTGATTTGAATTATCTAATTTAATAATATATATTTATAGTTAGAGATTGTGAACAAAAATAATAGATAATAATAATTAATTGTATTATTAGTCATAAATATTAGTTTAAAAGACTTCAAAAATTTTATGGAAGTTATCTTGAAATTAGTAAAAATCTATTATAAAATTATTGGATTATATTATGAATATATTTTTTAATAAATATTTATTTTAAAAATAAAAAAATATTATTTATTTGTATCTTATTAAAATTAATTAATTTATTATAGCAAATTTATATGTATTACTYACTCTACTATTTTAGACTACTTATAATATAACAGTTTTATCTTATTATTTATAATTATAAAATTCATAGTTTTATTTATTAAAGTATTATATTATATTAATATTATATATATATAATCAATTTCATAGTTGTATCGTTTTATTATTTTTAATACAGTTATTAATAGCTTACTATTAAAATATTGCACTTATAAATTAATTGAATAAAAATTATAATAGTTTTTATTACATTGTCATTACTATTAATATATTTAATATTATTTTATATAATTATTATATATCATATTTATAATCATATTTTAATTAATCATTTTAAATTTAAAATCATTATATTTTTATTAATATGATAATAATTATATATCAATTACCTATAAATATATATAACATACATAATTCAAAACAATTTTATAATCACTTTTAAAAATATATTATTTTCAAAAAAAGTATCTATTTTGAAGTCCTATACCTAAACAGTGCTAACTATCCATAATTTTTTTAGACATTTATAGTGACTAAATGTGTTGTAAACTGTGTATGTTATAAAAATATTATTATTATTATTATTAATTTTTTGTAATAAAATTATTTTACAGATTGAATTTGTGACTGCAATAACACAATGAACTCAAATTTGTTCAAATCAATAGTTATCTGATTATTTATATATATATTGACTATTGTTTGCATATATATATATATATATATATTAATATATAAGTGAAAAAAATAATCTACAAACTGCAGGGTTTTAATCTCTGTAATATTAATAATAATATTAATACTAATATTAAAAAAACTGCTAACTATATGCCTGTTTAGAACATTGTATATTAAGAGACTGTGGGGGAACAGTAGTACTTTTTTTTAAAGACATTTATTGGTTTGCCATACAGTCATACATACCTGAGCTACAGTATTAAAGATATCAATAATCATTTTTTTATTTCACTACTCACAGAGAGAGTGAAATAAAGTTTTTTTTTGAAATAGTTATAAAAATAAAGAGTTTCTTATCGTTATCGCTATATTCAACACAAATACCTAATAATAAATAATCTTTTGAGAAATATTAGGTTATAAAAAGCAAATTTATTTCCATTAAAATCATTTTACACACAAGTTTTGTGTGGTTTTCATTTATTTATTTATATATTAAATAAAATATATATAYAATAATAAACTACTGGTGCTATTATAGCCCTAATGAAAATCAATTAGTCATGAATGAGGAGCTAAACAATTGGTTTTATTCGTTAACATTGAGTGAATTACAACAGTATGTCATACGGTTGGAGACGGAAAATGAAAAACTGGTCCGAGAGCTGACCGAAACAAATAAATTGAATTTTATTTTGGAAAGTATAGCCAAAAGTACCCAAACAGGGTATACATTACTCAGAAGGATTATGATCAACAAAAGTTGTAACTGTAATGAGCACTTGAATGTAGATTTCAGACAATTGCTCGGCGAGTCTATCAAAGAAACCAATCAGTTTCTCAGTCGGCTTCAAATGTTTCAACAAAATCTGGAACCGGCCGTCAATATCGACGACCGGACATCTGAGTCGATACCATCGTCGTCGGTATCGCCGTTACATTCGGAACATCCGCTTGTCATCGACCTGTCCAACGACACCACCAACAACAACAGTCAGACGTCAAAAGGATCGCCATTTTCAGTGAACTACAGAAGACAGTCAACTGATGATAAGGAGTCGTCGTCACTGATGAGCGAATCGCCCCACAGTTCCGGCTACGAGTCTAACGATTATAATGCCGAACATCAAACAGTGGCCATCACTCGCGTACCGAATCTAGTCTTTCACAACGACTACAATTCGACCCATAAATCGGAATCTCATTTCAGACCAAAAGCCACAATAACTGCTTCATCTGTTGCCAATGTGGCCACTGGTCGTCGGCCGTCAATAAACAATGATTTGCCTCAAAATCTAACATTACCTAAGAGTTCGCTTAGAGCACAACAAGTATCGCCGGCGGCGGCGGCGGGGACACAATTGCCGCTACCGATAATGGCGACCAACACAATGACCTCAGCTCGAGAGTCGGCCACTAATACCCAAAATAACAATAATTCAAACGTATTGTTTACCGCATCCAATGGCTCTACAATCGGTCCAATCAATGGCTCGTCACAGCACTTGCCTAATAGGTGTTCAAATTGTGACCTAAGCTTTAATTTGAAGTCTAGTCTCGATCAGCATTTGCTCACACATTTGACCCCAACCTTTACAATGTAAGTAAACCTTTCAATAGATGACTGACCTTAAATTAATTTATCTATATTTTATTATAAATTTTTTAAAGTTATTAAGTTTAATTTTAGAAACGTGTATTAAAACTAATTATTTTTATCATTATCATATTAATAATAATATTATCATTATTATATATTGTGGAACATTTTTTAATCATACATAAAATAGTAGATTATTAATTATAAATAATTTTAGATAAAACTAGTAAAAAATTATTTCACATTTATTGCAATCATATTATGTTATATTACTTTGTGCTCTCTCTCTCTCTCTCTCTCTCTCTCTCTTTCTCTCTTTCTCTCTTTCTCTCTCTCTCTKTCTCTCTCTCTCTCTCTCTCTCTCTCTCTCTCTCTCTCTCTCTCTCTCTCTCTCTCTCTCTGACTCATTCACACTAATAATGTTATCAAAATCACATTACTTTTTAATAAATTAAACTACCTGTGCATAAAAAAGCAAACTGTTCTTTGAGGTTAAGAACATACTCAATGCACTAATAATCACCCGTATGTTTGTAACAATTTGGTTATTTTTAATATTAGTAATTAGTAGTGTTAACAATTAGCAACAAGTACATTTATTGAAAAAAGTGCAGTACATACTAGATGCACTAGATACACTTTATACTACTTACTATATATGATATTAACTAAATAATATCAATTAAATTTATAATACAAAAAAAACTGAGCAAGATTAATTTGAAACAAATCAAGGTTAAATTTATCTTGTTACATTGTACAACTATTTTTATGTATATAATTTTGATTTATAATTATAAAAATTTATATTAATAATAACATTTACATTATTTATTATTAATTATATATCATAGTATTGCAAATGTATTTTATAATAGCAACGCTGGGGGTTAAGTTTTATCATTAAATTATTATTATTTTTAAAAAAAAATAATTGTACTTGGAAATACTGTCCTTTTATTAATTACTAGTTATTATGAACTTATAAATTGTTGAGAAAGGTAATTATTTTCTATTTAAAAAAAATAAAATAAAATTTATTATCAAGGGTAATTTAAGTCATATGAATGAAATACTGTACAGTATTTAACTGATATTAACTGTTTTTTGATAAATATCTAAGTGATTGCATTGAGTAAAACACTTAGAGTAATTAAATATAATTTACTATATACATTTACTATGTTATACAACTATTTTTCTATATAATAATAAAAATATTTTATAATTTTAGTTTTTTAGTATAATATACGGCTTATCAGATTAAATTGTCACAACCATAAGTTTATAACAATTGTTTGCAACAAAAAATAATATGATAATAGTATTAATATTTTATTGTATTTTTTTCTAGTCATTTATAATTACATTGGCTTATACTGGTTAAAAAAATAGGAACTGTAGATATTTTATCATTAATATGAAATAATTAATCAGTATTAAGTGTATATATATCAGGCAATAATTGTTAATAATATGTATTTCACAAATAATACACTAGAAATTATTTCAATGTTATCACATTATCATAAAAAAATGTATTATCATTAAAAAAAAAAAAAGATTTATTGCAAAAAGTTATTGAACAATTATTATTACTTTATTCAATATTTAATTTTAATATTTCATTAATTTTTTGAAACCTATTATAGACAAAGAGCGGGTAGAGGACGGCCGGCCAAAAATGACTCGCGTATACTACGGGTGACCGATAGTGATCTAAACATATTGCGTATGAATACCGGTGCCGGCGGACGAATCAGTTTGCAGGCATTGGAAACACTGAGGCGACAAAAATTTACCGGCTATGGCCGATACCGGTGCCCGTGGCCCGACTGTGGCTATACGCCACACTTTTTGCGCGATTTGCGCCGACATATGTTTAAGCATACGGGCGACAAAAAATACAAATGCGATTACGATGGCTGCGATTTTATCACCGTCTGGAAGACCAGTCTACTACAGCACCAGAGAAAAAAACACAATATATCTCCCGATCCCAGCAATATTTTGCCCAAATCACCCACACCTAATCATACAGACAATTCCATGCTCATGTAGATAGACTAGACTTACCATTTTACGTACATATACAAAACCGACATACATTCAACAATCATTAACATAAACAGTTTATGAGAACCGAGAGACTCGTATTAGATTATATGTTGGGGCTCTGGGTTGGACAGGTATAATATGTCTAATCATATTTCAATTGTGTGTCTATATAATGTATGTGTGTATGAAATTATATTATGTGCTGTATATATATATACTTTATTACTATATGATTAAAAGTGTTATTCAATTGTTATGYCGGTTTCTACAGTAAACTCTATGTGGAAAAAATTAAATATTAAAGTTTATTTGTCAAGTTGCTGGGTAATTATCAATTAATAATAGTAATAATATATATATATATATAACATAACATAACATAACATTAGATGATAGTAATCTACAGGTATACTAATATAATATTGTAATAATTCATATCAATAATTTTTTTAATCTATTATTATCTCAATTTTTGATGTGACCAAACAATTATTTTTATTATATGTTTTGCTAAATATAACTTATACTAATATGATTATTAATATTATGATTATCATAATGTAAAATATATTCGTCTATTTTTATTAGACAATTAAAACAAATTATATATTTAAAAAAWATATAAATGAATGTTAAATAATAAGAATACTATTTAAAAATAGCTAAAATAAGCTATTATTAAAATTATTATGACTTACACTACATTTTTGTAATTATTTGCCTAAAATAAGTTAATTTAAAAACAACGAATCCGTTAATAATTAGGCAAAAATAACTATCTAAAAAAATTAAACTACAATTATTATAAATCAATAATAATTTTAATTATTAGTAAAAATTTGTTTTATATAAAAATATTATTCTTATTGTTGTTGTATATAATATACGGTATTTTAGTATTTGTTAATTATTTATCAAATATAATATTTATAATTACAATAATATATATTAACATTCCGTTATATAAATAATTTATAAATTAATATTTATGTTTAATATGATTTTTAATAACAGTTAATAAATTTAAAAAAATTGTAGTTACAGTGACTTTATATATTTAAYTAATTATTTTTTTGTAAATATTCTTTACTATAATTATTTTATTAAAAAAATTTATGTTTGTGATATTCATTGTGATATTATTATTATATTAAAAAAATAATGTAACATTTTAATTTAATTACATTTTTACGTCCATGTAATGTGCATTATTAACAGGGTACCATTGTAATTATTTATTTTTATTTATTATAAAAATTCATAACTAATTAACTTGTTTTTTATGTCTTAATATAGTCATTAATTTGTTGTTTATATCATTAAATTAATATTTATAACAGTATATAAAGTGTTTTATACATAATATACAGACACAAAATAATAAATTATTGGTATAATTACTTTTACTAATTGTAATAAGTTTGAATTATATGTTAAAAATTGTAATTTACAATATGTTTATTTGTGAAAATGATAATAAAATATTTTTACATTAAAATGTAATTTATAATTATTAATTATTTTACATTTATATTTTAATAATAATTCAAAGTTAAAAAATAGTTCAAATATATAATACATATAACTAATTTTGTTAGATTTATTATTATTTTTATTGAAATTTAAACGACAAAATTTAACTTTATTAATTATTTTGATAATGTTGATTAACATACAGTAATAACTTTTATTATATCATAGATTCAATTATATAGTAATATAAGTTTATTTAGCAGAATCTATGTGTCGCTACATTGACTGTTACTGTATATACTGTAAAATTTATATTATATTAATAGATATAAATTAAAATCTAATAAACAAATTGAAATACTAGAAGTTTAGGACAAACATAAAGTAAATTAATTGATATCTATGTTTCCGACGTATTATTATTATAGAAATAATTATAGATATATATTTAAAGTTAAACTAACTATATATTTGTAATAATATCATATATAGTATTATTGTAAGTAAAATATTTTTTTTTAAATCTCAAATTAAAAATATTAGTAATATCACCAAGTTTTTTTTAAATATTTCTATTTTGTTATTTAACAAAAATGTTGTTATATTTTTTATAGGACTTAATAAAATAAATTAAATTTTATGATTCAACAAATAATTTGGTAAATAAAAAAATAGAAAATTGAAAGTTTCAATTAAGATCAACAAAATTAAGATTAAAAAAATAAATATTTTGCTATATTTTTTCATTAGTTGACAAACCTATTGATGATGACATTGAGCCAATAATCTGATAACAGTTTTACTATAAAAATTTAATTATTCAATTAAATAGACTGAACAGTAAAATTTTTTTCTAAGAGTATTAAAYTACAGTAAATTATATAAATTTATAAAATATTTTAATTTTAAAAATTATTTATTTTCTGGATATTTGTTTATTAAGTAATAATTTCGTAAAAATTAAAAATTAAATAAAACAAATGCCATGTTTATAAAATAAACAACAAAATTTGATTTTGAATTTTTAATGTTTATAATATTTGTTTATATAAATTTTCGATTATTTAACACAAATTAGATTATATTGATTACGATTTTATAATTTTTTCAATTAATATTACTTTATTACCTATTATTTTATTAAATAATAATTATATTTTTCTAAATTTTATTTACTTTTTGTTCAAAAACTATAATTTGATAAACATTTGTAGCACTGGTCACTCTACTCGACAAAATGTTATCACAATTAATATATAGTTTTTCATATTTCTTAATAATTTTTGAATTTTTAGTCCTTGAATTTAGACGATATGTTTGGATGATTACTTCAAACATCCTATGTTTTGTGATTTTAACAAAAAAAATAAAATAAATATTTCACACAACAAATATACACATTTAGTGTTCATAAAATTGGTATCATTTATATCTACACATTAGATATGAAATGCAAGATATGATACATTATATAATTTATAAATATAATGTAGTAATCATTAATTTTCATCAAAATAACATCATATTAAATAAAAAAATATTTTCATTTGTCGTTACATTTGCTGGTCATTGCAATAAATATCAATAATATTCATATACTGTATATACCGTATAAATTATTGCCAACCACTTGATGTTTGCATCTAATTTGTTAAATAAATATTTAACATTTAGCAGTGTAGTAGTGATTCAGTGATTAAATATATACAATCTATGGTAGAAGTGATAGTGGGATAGTACTGGTAGATTGAAAGGACTGGTAGATTAAAAATACAGTAGTGCTTCTGTGGATAACATACAGTCAATAGTTTTTCAACTCTCGGTTGACATCTATACCGATATTTTAAGTGTGTATTTCTGTTATTAAAAAGAAAGAGAGAGAAAAAAATGAATGAATTGATTATTAGTCGGTTTATTGGAAAGTTTACTAACATATCGTGTCTACTATTGTTTGCCATACTATTCATTAGTAGTATACAACTGTCACCAGTAGTAGTCAATGCCTATATCGGCAGTGATATAAGTATGACTTGATTTTTTGATTTTTGTTTGTTAGCGTACACTGAGAAAAATGTTGTCTTAATTTTCGTTAACTAATAATTAGTTGTGTTTTTGTACACTACATGACTATCATTGTGTCTCATATTAATTAAGTGCAAAATTAAGTTTAACTTTTGTTTTGTTTTTTTTAGATAAAAATATATTTTTGTTTTAATTAAATTAACGACTAATGAATACAGGCTTATATACTGTATATTCAATATATAACTTTACTTTATATACTCTATTATAGAAGCTTTTATAATATATTTAAATTTATATAAATATATAAATGTTGTTAATGTTAGAGCTTACTAACTATTTACAAACAAACATATATTTATATATATAAATAAATAGCAATTTTATGTAACCATTTATAACAAAACAAAAATTATATGTAAATTTGTTGACACTTCGTGTCTCAATATACTATATATATATATATATACTTATATTTATGCATTTTTCCCAAAAGGCATAAATCTAACGGTGACTGCGGGCGAGTCGACACATTTGAAATGTCCCATCAGTGCCAACGATGTCGACAGTAATCTTGTAATTAATTTTAATTTAATTAAAAATATTTCTATTATTTTAATTTATTCACAATGAGTTTTAATTTAATTAAAAATTATTAGTTCCGCATAAATGTTTTGGTGGATAAATTTTTATAAAAATTAATTAATTAATTCTAACTGTTAATTTTAAAATTGCATTTTTAAAAAAAATACTATATTTAAATTTTTTCAACAAAAAAATGTTCTGTCATTTAGGTAACTTGGATCCGACACAAAGATAGACATATACTAACCCAGGAGCACATCAAGTATACCAATGATGACCGATTTAAGCCTGTATTCAAACACAATCATTGGTTTCTGGTGATAGCAAACGTCAGCAAAAGCGATGCCGGAGCCTACCAGTGCCAACTGGCAGATAAAGAGACCAAAATATTGGTAAACTTATTAGAAAAATTAGTTTTTTTTGAAAATAAATAATTAGATTATATACACAGTTTAGTATAGAGGAAGAAAAATAAAATAAAATTCTAATTGTAATCATTACTAAAATTTTATAAATAATTAAATATCTTTTTTTTAATACATGTACTCTATAACTAAACAAACAAACAAACAAACAAAAAAAAGTTAGCCAACACTACAACCAATTTTCGGCTCAGCGTTTTTGGTAAACAATTTTGAATATATGTTATATAATTTATATATATATATATATACAGAATATATATATATATAATGATATGAATTGTTTATAAGTTTTAATAATTATACGCACCGGTAGATACTAAAGCAAACAAGGATGAGCTAATTGAGTTGTTAAACCTCCTGGACATGGATAGCAAGGAACAGAATATAAGAATAGAGGAGTTTCTCGAAAGGGCCGAAAATATACTGAAACGAGCAGAAGATCCGTCCGGTAATCTGAATCCGGCAATGATTGTCAATGAGTTTTTGCCGGATCCGATGCCTATGAAAAACCTTAATTTCAGTGAAGAGGGCGGATGGGGTACCTATACTGAACTCAACCTAAAAAATATGTCTATTCATGGATTCAAACAGTTAAAGATATCAAATATATCTTTTAATTTGGGTCACATTCAGCTTACAGTTCAAATGGATTTGCCTATCATTAGTCTTCAAGGAGTTTATGACATCGACGGCAAGGTTTTTATGTCTTTATAACTAATATTATTATATCATTTGTATTATTTTATTAATACTTGGGTGGAGAGAGAGATAGATAGAGATAGAGAGAGAGAGAGAGAGAGAGAGAGAGAGAAAGAAAGAAAGAAAGAGAGAGAGAGAGATAGGAGTGTAAGATATATATATATATATGTTGACCCCATTTCATAGGATACCATATTATTCATTGATTGATAATTTCATTTCATTTAATGGTTATGTTTTACTTAAGATTTCTATTTAAAAAACAGATTTTTATATTTCTGGTAATTTTGATCTAAAATATTGTTGAATTTCAATTTAATATAAAAAAACTAATTCATTCATGAATTAAAGTTACAATTTAAACAGTATATATTTAAATAAATTTTATTTTTATGTTTGAAAAATTATAATTTTAATCAAATTTTACTGGTTGTTTTAAGTTATATAATACTATATTTTTTGTTTTGTTTTAATAACTAAAAACCCGACATCACATTTACACTAATGATTTTGAAATTGATTTTTATATTTAAAAGTTATATTAATGTTTTTCAGTTTAAAGACATTTAAGAATAAAATAAAATTGAATTTTTATTTTAAATATATATTACATAATTTAAAATATAGATTTTTTAAAAACAAATATCTTATATTGAAATATTTGTTTTGAATGAAACATAACTCAACTATAATTTTTAAATTAAGATAATCATTGTTTTATATATGAAAAATAATGAAAAAATTATTTTAATTTAAAATGAATATATATTTTTTAAGTTGGTATTCATAAATAAAAAATATTTTATACATACATACAGTACAAGTTATACAGTTGTTATAGTTTTTTAAAATTTATTTATTGCATATTTAATTATATTTATTAAGTTTTCATCAACTTATAAATTATAATTATAGAAATAAAAGTTATAAAATTTTCAAAATATTTTCAAATATTTCAAGTTATCGTATATATTAATTTTATTCAACATTATTATTTTATACAAGTAGTAGTAGTAGTAGTAGTATACTGTATATATACTGTATATATATATTGTGTGAATAATTTTTATTTATACAGTATATAATACACTCTATATTTTTAAATTAAATTGTATTGACATAAATTGGTGGCCAAATTTATATATACACTGTATATAAAATACAATTCATACAAATAGATAAAAATATCATTCAATTTGATACAATTCAATAGACTCAAGTAAAAAGAGTTCAAATCGATTTTTATTTATATATATATATATATATATATACTATATATTTATTTTTATAGTTAAGTTTAGTTTGTTTTATTTCAATATATATATATATATATATATATCAATATATATTATTTTGTTTTAGTTTTCTTTATTACTATAGTATTAAATAAGATGTGTAAATGAAAACCAATTTTTAAAAATTTTGTTTTTATTGTTTGTACATTTTCTATACTTTATATACACAGTATATATATATATATATATATTAGGTTTGAGTAAATATCATATACAATAAAATGTTTGTTTGTGAAACACTGAAACTTTTCAAATTTTAAATTATTTGAAAACAAAATAAATAATGAAATTTAATGTTTTAGTAATGTTATCATAAGACTAGATAATAAATTTTTTATTTAGTTTGTTGTTTTTGTTGATTATATTCAATTGACAGCAATGGTCACCCATAGCCTATTGATGACCATTGATGTCAATTGAATATAATCAATACCAACAACAACAAACTTTTACTTAACATAAAAATAGTTTTACTTTAATAGTTTAACTTTTACTTTAGTGACAATAAAAAAAATTTAATTACATTTTTTTTGGTTGACTAATTAATTTTTTTATTTTGTATCCATTGAATATCTCAGATGGCATTTGTGCCTCTCTATGGTGACGGAAGATTCTGGATGAATGTGTCGAACATTGAATTCAACGCCTATGGATCACTGGAACCGGTAGCTGATGGCACCATTAGGATTAAGGACATTGTGATGGATGTCTATAGCGATGCCATTGAACTAGATATGGAAAATCTAATGGGCGGCGGTGTGATGGGTGGTATCGGTAACTCATTGGTTAATCAGATATCCGATTTAATATTCACAAACATCAAGCATAACATGATGGACGAACTGTCAGCTCATGTCAAAAAAATGATTAACTCTCAGTTGGCACACTTGCCTCTCGGTTTTGTCCATAAAAACTCGACCAATATTTTCGATAGTCTACTGCAACGGGCTGTCCATACATTGAACGATACGGGTGTCGATCCGCTACCGTTGCCACCGTTGACCGATAAGTTTAGTTATGATCTTATGCTGTTTAAGTTGAAGGGCGAATTGAAAGTATACGATGGCTATCTAAACGGATTGTCCAGTTTGGTTCGTACGGGTGATATTATTACCACTTATAGTAACAACGAAGTAGTATTTGAGGCCAGTATGGGATTTACCAATTTGACGGGTGGTTACAATTGGAAAACATCTGTGTTGGGTAATATCTAATATTATATTTTGATATAATATATATTTAGCGTAGCTCTAGTAGCTTATTATGCGACAATCAATATAACACTTTGTTTTACTTCAAACAGGTGGCGGACCGTCGGGATCGTCATCGCTGACAATATCGGGCATTTCATGCTATCTTCAACTAAAACAGGGTCTCCATAGAGGCGCCAAACCGACAATCAGCTCATTTCGTATCGATAAGATTAAGCACTTATGGATCGATGTCAATGGTTTGGGCAGTTGGGACTTCATACTGGAGCTCATTATGAATGTCGTGTCAAATGCATTCAAACTATCGCTGGCCAATGCTATCGGCGGTCCCGTTACTGATGCCATACAGAAAGAGTTGAATCAATTACCGATAAGTCTACTATAATGTCGTYAAAAAAAACTTCAATAATAGGACAAACATTTTTGTTTGTTTGTTTGAATAAAAACAATTGCAACTAATTTTCAGCCATAAGTAATACTTTTCCGATAATTTAATCTTAAAATGAAATTAAGTTTTTTTTGTTTTGTATTTTGTTTTTTCTATTTTACTAATGATATATAAATCAAATACTTTTTTTCTTATTTATTATTTTTATTTTTATTGACGACAAACACGACTTGTTATATACAGTATAATCTATAATCTATATAATGCTCTTCCGATAACTATTTTTCCTTTTTTTATTTTTGTTTAGTGAATATCTTATAAAATATTTATTTCATTTAGATTTTGATATACATCTATATATATATATATATATATATATAAATCGATAATTGACTATTACTTCTGCAGATAAATCATAATATTAACAAAACTCTACTAAAATACATATAAATTATAATATGTTATAATACAGAATACATAATAAATATATTTGTATGTAATATATATATGTTTGAACTAAATAAAGCTCTGTTTCAACAACAAAATAAAAACTCGTACAACATATTAATATACAGTATATAAACAGTATTTATATATATAATATATAAGTTAAATAACATATTGTATTAAACATATGATATGCCAAATGTAGAAAAAGATTAATGCAAATGTCATTTGTTATATGAAATACAAATTATTCATTTTTAATGAATAATCCCTTGAAATTTTAACCACAGATTCAAAAAAAAAGTTTGTACTTTATTTTGTAATGTATTTTTATTATACAGTACTGTTTCAAACAATTCATGTTTGCATTTATGAGAAAAACTTGTATTTAATAATAAGCATTATTTATAATTTTTTTTATGAAAAATATATTGAGAATAATATTTTAATATTTTAAAATTTATGTATAAGTAAATATATATACATATATATATATATACAATATATACGGCAATATACATACAGTATATTATGTTTTTGTATTATCTCTTTATCTTATGCATTGTATATGATTTATTTAAAAACGAATGAATAGTGAAATTTTTAATAATGAAAAGCAAAACACACAGACAAACATATTTTATTATAAAATTTAATTAAAAATTTTTGCTCAATATTTTTATATCATATGGCTAAACATTATTTCTACTAATACTGGTTTAATTAACTTTACAGATATAGTAATATAATATATATATATATAATATACAGTATACTACAGTATTATAATTATAGTATTTTATTATAATTATAAAATTTATGTATAAATATATGTATATTAATATTATATATATAGTAGATACAGTAGTATACTATAAAGCATTTGTTAATACTTGAATATTTTAAAGTTTAGAAAATTTTAATACTAATTACTTTTTTTTATCTTAAGTATATTCATTAGAAATAATTTACAAAAATATATTTTTAAAATTTTTATTTTATTATTATTTTCATAACTAATAAAACATTATATAATTATTTACAATATATTGATATAAATCTAATAATAAATACATAGATTTTTTTAGTCTAACAATACAATAGATATTATTTAGTCGTGCAAATTACTAAAACATTACTTATTAAATCGCATTACATCTAATAATAAATATATATAATTTAAATATATTTATATTTACATTGATATACAGTATATTATCAAATAGAAAATACATTTTCTCAGTAGTTTATTATGATATATCAATATAATAATAACGAAATAATAATAATAATAATACGATAATTATCTGATATACTGTATATATATATATTATATAACAAATGTATTGAACAATAGTTAGACTCTTTTATTATTATTATTATTATTATCTTTTCTCATGAAATGTGTGGACAAAATAGAGACAAAATCCTTATTTCTATACAATTTAATCACTTTTAGATCACTCAGACAAAGACAATAAGACAGTACTGTAGTTTGTGATAATTAATATCAATGGATCATCAAATGAGGGGAACGGGAGGTAAACAAAATACACACACATTATAAGTAGTCAGTTGAGAGCTAAGGGAAAGGTCATTGGCATCTGATTTGTGTGTTGTTTATACTCTCTTTCAAAGAATATTCTGCAAAAAGTCGATTGAATGTCACTATAGAATCGATAAAGAATTAGCAGAGTATTGGACTGAAAGATAGTCTCTCTCTTTCTTTATGTGTGTTTGTGTTAAGAAAGGGATGAGGAGTAAGCCAGTGGGGGTAGTGGTATATATACGGTATATATATAACCCAACCATTAGCACTGTTAGGGTTTATAAATGAATGGGTGCCCATTATTATCAACTTTAGACTTGTGTCACTGAGACATTATTACTGGCATTAAGTATACTTTGCGCTGAGTTTACATCGCCACCGACTACTACCGTTCCCACAGCTCCCACCAGCTCTTTGTCTAATTCAAGACAATGCGATTGAGAGTGACTTAAGTAGGGCTTTAGTAGACACTGCTGTTGCTGTTGGTGTTCCTGTGCTGCGGATGGCATGTCAGTGATGGCAACTGTAGTTATTGCCGTCGTTGTTGTGGAGGACCCACCACTCATGACATCCACTCGACTATTATTAGCACTTAAAGGGACGACTAATTTCTGGCAGTCTGTCAGCGCTCCGTTAGCCAGAGTTTTGGTCGCCAATGGACTAAATGTATTGAGCTTTTGATAATGAAAACGACTGCCGTATGCCTGTTGTTGTACACTATTAGAGCTGTTATTATATAAATATTTTTGTTCACTATTGGAGTCGAGTAATGCTAGCATTGGTTGTGGAGTGTGATTATGATGATGTCTGAACGTGTCAAATGACATACTGGTGCTGATCATTGATGAATGGTTAGGCGTAGGCGCTGACAGTGTTACTGTTTGAGCGTTGGAGTAATGGCACCCAAAATTAGTTACATCGGGTGCTGTCAGTGGATCGATGCCACCAGAAAATCGGTAAGGCTTTAGGTCAGTGGTATCTTTGATAATATCGGATATCAGTGCAATTTCAGGCTTATTAGTATACAGTGTTTTCATCCCCATGTCCTCATCGGAACACTTGATGTTTTGTAATATATCAATGGCGCCCAACTTTGACGGCGACACCGTTGATGAATGTCGTACAGAGCGTCGTCTTTTAGTTCGGATAAATGGCATCAATAGTAGTATAAGCACCAGTAGTACAGCAATTATGGCACCCGTAGCGTAGCATGTAATGTGAAATGTACTCATATTATAAGCCATCGACGAACTGGTATACGGTTGCGAACTGACAGCTATTGTAAAGTTCTTGTAAGCGGAACCACCCTTATTGGCGGCCAAACAGATTAGTTGTTGTGTATCGTATACCCGGAGATCATTAATAGTAATATAAGACGAAACAAATGTTTCGTTGACGGCCACCGTTTCAATGAAAAATCGTTGGCTATCGTCACTGGTATGCTGTTTGCTGGCGTTGTTACGGTGCTCTCGTGTCATCATACGGTTGTTTGCTGTAATGCTGGTGCTGGCGGTAGTAGTAGTAGTAGTAGTAGTAGTAGAGGAACTATAGTCGACAGAGCTATAGTCGACACCGAGCTTCCAGTGTATGCCTGGCAATGGATAGCCACTGGCTGTACAATAGATGGTTATATTTTGGCCGATATTTGTATGAAAATTAGTCTTTTGCGTGTGAAATACCGGTGCACACGAAAACTCATCAATATTTAATGCATTCCAGTAATGGCCTATAATTATAGTGCAAACGGGAATGTGAGATACAATAAAAAATAAAAATAATAATATTATTATAATAATAATAGTTGATCTATAATTAAATATAATTATACTATATGTGTTATATATTATATGTAATAATTTATATGGTACCCAAAAAAACAATTGTAAATAATAATAATAATAAAATGTGTAAAGAAAAATAAAAGGAAAAATAATTTATTCACTATCTTCAAGAATATTCATTGTATTTATTGTAATTTAGTATATAAATAATATATAATATATATATATAAAAAATATAAGTGTATTATTTTCTAAATGTATTATTCAAAATTTATAGTAATTTTTTTTATTATTATTATACACATAATTTTTTTTAATGTATTGTATTGTTTTAATTGTATTCTGAATGCAATATATTTATTTAGCATAAGATTTTATTTTTAAAAAATAAAAAAAAATCTGTGTACTAATAAATTAAATTTTCAGTGAATATCTATGATAAACGTTTTTGTACTCAAACTTTTTGTTGGAATTTTAATCATTATTTTTTTTTTGTTTTCAAGTATTTTTATATTTATATAGTGTAGTAAATAATGCATACAATAAACAAAATCAATTCTAATGTTTATATTTTATTATTATTTTTAGTTAAGTATAAAATTAGATTTTGTTCAACAAAATCAACAATTTATTTAATTAAATAGAAATTATGATATTTATAATATTATATACATTAGCATATAATATAACACTTATGAATTGCTATTATTATTACTATTACTATTATTATCATTATCGTTATTATTCMTTAAAAATTATAGAGAAAAATATTAATAAAAAAACATTTTATATAATATAATAATGTATTTGATGAAACAAAAAATAATATAAAATTGAATAAAAAATAATGATTTAGTAATACAATAGAGAATTAATATTTATATCTCATTTTGAAATAAAAACAATAGTAACATAATAGTGAAAAAAATGTTTTTAATGATGAAAAGCAATTTAAGTGCTGTTTGAGTAAATGTTATATAATATAAACACAAATTATTGTACTGTATTTGTATAGATCAGTATAAATGTATTGTTTTTGCTTTGAGTGTATTTTAATGCAATGGGAAAACATTGAGTAAAAGCGGATAATTTATTGCCAAAGAGTTAACTATCATTTAATAAAAAAAAATAAAATACAAACAACACTAACAGTAAAATAATGTTTAAAAATATTTTACGACTAAATAGCTATTGGAGTGAATAGTAATACTGTATATAAAAAATTTATAATACAGTATTACACTATATATATACATATATATACATATATAATATATACAATAAACTGTATATACAGTTATATAGAGGTAGAGTTTAATTTATATGTCTTTTAAAAATGGATAGCATATGCTATATACTAAGCACGGGTATTAATTTTAATGCTATTATTATGATTATGATTATTATAATAGATATTTTATTATTATTATTATAATAATACAGTGTATGTGTGCGAGAGTTTTATCATTAAATTGTAAACGATATTAAAGAGAAATATTTTATTGTTGTGTAAAATGTAAAGCAAAACCATTATAAATGATTAAAATTAATAGCCGAGTTTAGCATAAATTTATATATATATATATATATATATATATATATAGTTTAAAATAGTAATAATAGTGTATGTAAAAATGTGTATTATTATTATTTAAGAAATTTGATTCAAAAAAATCATCTATTGTTTTAAATATACAATTTTTGCATTTTTGATGATACTCTATATTTATAATAAGTTGCTTTATTTTTAATATAAAACAATATAAAGTCAATATAAAATGTTATTGTTGTTTCAGTGAAGTATCAAATTTTAATGTCATAGAAAATAGTTGAGTAGACATAATATGCTAGCGTAGCAAAAATTATTGCTAATAAAAATTATGCCTACATTTTTTTGTTGTATAACCCATACTAAATATACTGTAAGTTATTTTTTATATATATATAGTTATTGGATATCATCTTTCTCGGAGAAAACAAAAATTGTATATTCAGTTATACATACATATTGTGCAATAAATTTTTTATATTATCTATAATATAAGCCACTCATGCTATGAAAAAAATACTGTATATATATATTCTGCGAGTTTGTCACTAATATAATAACAGAATTTCAGTTATAAGCAATATATAAAAATATATCAGTTTTAAAATATAATATATATATATATATATATATAAGTAGTTTTTCTATATATATTATTTATATTTTTGAGTATATTTTATGATATAATATATTCTAAAGTCAGCAAAATATTAAAAAATATAACTTATATATATATATATAAAAATGTGAGTGAGTAGTGAAAACATTAGCGCATTATTTACTTAATAGTAATTCCATTAATAGTTGATATTTTATATGCAAAATAGTAATAAAAATGTGCCATAATATCTAATATACAGTATATACTATATATATATATATATATATATATATATATATTATTTTATATTTTAGTGTAAATAAATATTGTGAAAAATGTGAAAATATTTTTTTTTCTGGAAAAAATAATTTAATGCCACTTTTCCATATAAACATTTTTTACCACTGGCATTTCATATTAAGCATTTAATGACCATATAAGTTATATATATATATAWATTTATATTACCAAGCGATACAGTATCATATATATAATTTATAAACAGGTATTTATACAGTATATAATTCAGTATATTGGTATATTTATGCTATATATGCAATTTAAATAATATATTTAAATATATGTATATCATAGGAATATAGCATATGTATGTGTATTTTTTAAATGTGTATTAATATACCGTATAGTACAATTATTTGTCTAAAATTATGTTATATATATAAAATATAAATGCATAATACTATTTAAATTTCTAACTCAATTTAAATGTAATAATAAATAGTTTAATGCATAGAATTTTAAATATTTGTTGTTTTCAAAAAATATATATAATTTATCCATAAATTATTTCTTATTTTATTATAACTAATAGTTTGAAGATTATTTACATTTTAAATCTTAATACCAGTGTATGATTGAAAATTTAATTTATAATTAATAATAATTCATTTTGTTGATTATAACGCAAATAAAAAATATTAAAAAATAAAAATTAGTAATACATTGTATCTAAAGTATTTTATTGATATATCATATATAATATTTATTTTTGTTTAATAAGGATTAATATTAAATACATAAAACATATAATAGTTTATTGTTTGTTTAACTTAATTTTAAATCCAATATATATTGATATACGATTATCTATAGAAATATTTTAAGCAAAATTTTAAAAATACTTAAAAACATTGATAGATAAAAAATACAATGTGTTTTACACAATATTTAAAAATAACAATTTTAAATATATAATAAAATATTATAAAACTACAATATATTTATTATAATATTAAATATTGTTGATAATTTTTTTTAAATATTTAATACTATATTTTGGGATAAACATTAAATGTATTACTGATAAGTTTTTCCATTGTTATAGACTTTAATATTTAGTTTAAATATATTGCATATATTTATTATATAGATATACTTTAAAAATCAACTATTTATTATTCATATTACTTTAATACTGTATATAATACTAAAAGTGAATAAATTATGGATAATTTTGTTGTTTACTATATTTTTATAATAATATTCTGTTATAAGTTTCTTAACGTATGAGTAAACCTCTATGCGATATAATTTATTATTAATAATAATATTGTTATTATTATTATTATTAGTATTATAAGTATTTTTGATAGAAGAGCTGTCATTTTTGTGGCCCAATTGAACGCTCCGATAGTCATCTAAAAGGTTTTGATTAATTATTTATCTGATTATATGTTAGTGACTGGTTATGTCAGTGCCAGTCGTCTTTCCCGGGAATGGCATTAGCCATACATTTATTAGTGAAATACTGGTGTTATGTGTGTAGGTGTGTGTCAGCCGCTCATCACAAGATGTAAAACTTATTTGATAGCATAAAGAGGTTTAGATACTATACATACATATAAATAGTTGATCACTGAGTTAAATAGCTGGACATACATATACTGATATACGATATACTGTATATATATATATGTGTTTATATTGATTGACCAATTGTTGTCTAATTTAATTAGTAATGCTGTTTGGGTTTAGTAGGATCTATAGTCGCCTGTCTATTGTCTTTCATAAGCCCTGATATGTTATTAATTCAATTAAACAACAATAAACACCATTTTTCTGACCGTCTATTAGTGTCTAAATTATATAAATATATATATATATATATATAAAGTTATCCTAAGATTAAACACTATTTAAACCACAGTTGCATCGATTGGTCAGACATTTATTTAATGCAACATTTGATATCATAAACTCTATATATGTTATGTAATATATATATATATAATAAATGCAATATATATCGTATATACAATATATATATATTAAAGTATAAAATCCATGGCATGTATTACAACCTTAAGCCATGTATTGCGTTTTTCTCTATATTAAATGATATCATATATAACTGTAATAATAACAACTATATTATATCTAAAAATAAAAACAATAGCAGTGTTCAGATAAAAAAAGCAAAATTTTACTGACATTTTTTACGGTATGAAAAGAGTTTTCATGTGATATACTATTATTTTATTTTCGGGTAAAAACATACAAATCATATTTGTTTTTTCTTTATTTAGTTGAAAAAAACTAAAACAAAAAAAAAACTTTTATCTTTCTCTTGGTTTGTTAAATCACTTTTGAATAGTTTTTTGTTGTTTTTGTTGTTTTGTATGACAAACTTTAAAATTGTTTTAAGTACACAATGTTTTCAACTTTTAATTATGATATGATAGTATGATATATATATAAAACTAAAATTTATTGCAACACTAACAGTGATATCATTTATAATTTTRTATTAATAAAATCTCTCACTTTTTTTGTTAACTAAAAAATTTTCTTTTAAAAGATTTTAAGTTTATTTTCTTTATTATAATTTTTATGATATGATACTTAATGTTAACCCAATGTCATTTATTGTTTATATTGTATTATAAATTAACACATTGGTGTACACATTGTAATTTATATGTCATAATTAATTTTAATATTTTTGTTTAATATTGTAGTTATAGTTGTTGTTGTTTTATTGAGTTTTTTTTTAATAAATATTATGTATATATTAGAAATAAATTTCATGAAAATACAAATATATGTTATAAACTTTATATGATATCAACATTTATAAGAAATGGATTTATTATTTTTATTTTAAATATATTGATATAAAAATCGATATTTAATGTGTTATAAGTTTGTTTGTTTTGTGTGCATTTAAAATAAGTACCATATATTTTGCTTATAAAATCAAATATATTAAAATTATATATATATTGTATCTGAAACTAGCATTTTAAATAAAAATATTTGCACTCATATTAAAAAATATAATATATTTTCTATTTTATAAAAGATATATTTTTATGTTAATAATATTGATATTTATATAGAATAGATTATATAAATTTATAAATTATATATTTATATATTATAGAAAATGTTTACTGTTTGGACACATAATATTTTGCATAATGTTTTAATAATGCTATAGAAAATATTTTTGTATATTAAATAAATATATTTATAAGAAAATTGAGATTCAAAAAAATTAAAAATAAAATAAAATAAACCCAAATTCTACTATCAAATATTAGGAGAAAAAAAATAAAAGAGAAAAATATTTTTCTGACATATTTTTGTCAAACAAAATAATATTACACAGAATATGCTTATAAATATATATCAAATATTGGTTTGCAATTTTGTTGTTGTTTTTGTTGAATAATAATACTCTATATACTGTAATTTTATATACAATATTATTATTATTATTATAAAAAAACTACATTTTACTTAGGGATTAATACACAGTTTTTATAGTAATATGTTTTTGACAAGTGATGTGTGTGTGTGTGTGTGTTTGAGGACATACCTTGTAGTCGGTGCGGTGATTGACATATAGGCCATACCGATTGGGGTATACCATTGTGCTGTAGCCACTGGACAGTGTGTCTCAGCTGACAATCACAGTGCCACGGGTTTTGGTGTAGATCCAGGGCGTGCAACACCTGCAGACCGGTCAACGCCGAACCGGATAGACTGTGCAGTCGATTGGCGTTCAGTTTTAGCGATCGCAGCTCATGGAGATCGTGGAAGGCATTGGACTCGACTGTATCTATTTGGCACTGAGACAAGTCTATCGACACTAGCGATTGTAAGCTCGCAAAACTGTCTATCCGTACAAAACGTATGGCATTCATACAAAGTGATAGTTTGCGTATAGATTTGCACTTTTGCAGACTCAGTGTCGGTATAGTGTCTAATGAGTTGTCACACAAATCCAGTTCAACTAAATTAGTTAACTGAAGAAATGCTTCATCAGATATCTCTCCTATGGTTTGTTGTTATAGTTGTGGTTAAAGTAATTGTAGTTGTTTTGGGTTTTTTTTTTTGATGACGTGTTGTTGTCGTCCATAATCATATGATATAGTTTGAGGCAAAAGTTGTGTCGTGAAAAAAAAGTATTAGAAAAAGTGAAAAAAAAGAAAAGAAAATAGAGTTAAAAATAATTGACAACAAAATAATAGATGGTATTAGAGATGATATAAAAAAAATAGAAAATTTTAAATTATATTATCTTTTTAGTGACATAAATACTAAAACATATAGAATATACAATATAGTAAATTACTAGTAGAATATATATATATATATTATTTTCTATTATATATATTGTATATATATATATATATATATATATATTGATTTCAAAAAATATACATAATAGAAGAATATTCTGTAAGTAAATTAAGTAAAATAAAGTAAGAAAAGTCTTGATTTAATTTGAATAATAATAGAAATGTAAAGAATTGGTTGGATATATAAATAAATTAATGACAATTCTCTGTTATTTTAACACATTTTTTCTATACAACTAAAAAAAATCAAATTATTTCTCTATCTTTTTTAATGGTGTTTCTTTGCTTTCTGCTACTAATTAGATGTTAATTAATTAAATTTTATAAATATCGTCAACAAAAAAGAAAAAAATATACATAATATTATAGACACTAATTTAATGTAAATTATTATTAGTAGTAATACTCTGTAACAGAAAAGTTTTTTTATTATTATTTTTATTAAATAGTTGACACAAGAGTATTGAGATTTTTTTTGGTTTGTGTTTTATATAATAATAACACATTTTTTTGCACTTATTTTTCTCATATTATCAAATTTTACTGTATTTTATGTACAATTTAATGCAAAAAAATAGTGTATATTATTTAGACTATGATATAATAGGGGATAGGAGTAGAGTGAGTAAGTGAAAGAGAGAGAGAGAGAGAGAGAGAGAGAGAGAGAGAGAAAGAGAGAGAGAGCAAACATATAACACAATTGTCGGTCTTTTGCGATATAAAAAAAATTGATGATAAAAATTGTTTGTCAAATATAAGTGAAGTATAACAGTAAGAGTGAGTATATATAGTATATATATATATAATAAGAGTGCAAAAAGGGAAATGGAGTTATAGTTTGTGCGCTAATTAATTGAGAGACGAAAGTTAAAGTGACGATAAATTATATGTTTTATTAGTGTCGGTATAGCCATAGGGTTGGTTTGGTTAACAGATAAAAATGTTATATAATATATATATAGTAAATACAGTGTATACTATATATATAATAAATTCAATTTACACAACAATTTAATTATTTGCAAATATCTATACTTATTTAATTTTTGAAAACATGTAATAAAGTATAATAAAATTAAAAACTATCAAATTTAATTAATAAATATATTTGATAATTATGGATTAATACTGTACTACCTTGCTTAGCTTAATATCTAATAACTCAATTATTTATATGTGTATAGTTTATAGAGCAGTTTATTTATTAGATATTGTCTTATATACCGTAGTATATAAATATATATATTATCTATAAAAAAAAGTATTTTTAATAATAAATAATAAAGTTTATTAATTATATTATGTCACTAATTATATATAATATATTTTATATAGAAATTTATATTTTATACGATATAAATAAATAGAGATATTATAGATAATTGATATTTCGTACCTAATTTACATTTAGCCATAAAAAGTTTCTGTACATTAATTAATCGACGCTCGCGAAACACTTGGGCCGGCAGTACGGCTATATGGATGCCCGTCAAGTTTAATACTTGTGTCGTACTGGGAATGCCAACGGGTATACCATTCAGCGATTTATCACAATTGACAGTCTCCTTGCCGTTAGACCATTTGCATTCACATTGATCGGGACAGTGACCCCCACTACTACCACTGCTACTGCTGCTACTACTACTACCACCACCAGTACCACTACTGGTGGCACCTATTATAGTGATGGCCGTCATCATTGATGTCAATAATAATAATAATGATGATGAGATTGTCCAATGTCGGGCAGTTAGATGACAATCGATTTGATTGTTAAGCACCGGTAGTTTAGTTGTCACTAAATGCTGTTTGCGTCTTTTGTGCCACATTTTTGTTATGTCTTTATATATATCTGCAGTACTTTATATATATTGATGGTTTCCCAGTGCTTCTCACATTTCAATTTATATATATACTGTATATACTGTATATTATATACATACACACACTTTCACATACACACTGACTAACTAACTAACTGGTACTTTGACTTTCACTTAAAAACAATTTGGTTGTTACGGCACTTATAGATTGATTGAATGAAATGAATAAATATAAAGAAATAATTTTTGTTTTTTTTGGAAATTTTTTTATTCTGATGTCTCTCTAATTATAGTCACAGAGTTATACATATATATTGTATATACAGTATATATATATATATATAGTCACAGAATAATCTACAGAGAATCCACTGAACGATGTAATTGTTGAGTCCTTTATTTGTATGGGGTTTTCACTGTTACTGTTGTCTTATTATTACTGTATTATTATTATTATTGTCGGCGAAACACTTGGGAAATGTATGTCGTGTGCCGTGTTTTCTGTACGGTATATACATATATATATATGCCTTGTGTTTGCAGAGATCTGATGCCGTATCCACACATACATACACAAGTGATTGTTAGTGAAGACCAATTGTTTTGTTTTTGTTGGACACACACATAGACTATTTGAAGCACATAGTAATATAGAAAAAACACTAACTACCAGAGCTCTGGATTTTTTTCAAGAGAGAGAGAGAGAGAGAGAGAGAGAGAGAGAGAGAGGAAGAGATACCAAGTGATGACCCGATTTATGTCAATTTCTTTCTTTCTTTTTCTGTGGCAATGATTGAAGTGATTTGAAGAAACAAATGAAATGTAAGACCAAATTCTTGTTATTTCTTTTAATAATTTTTTTGTATTTAATTTTTTTTTTGTATTTTTGGTTATATCTTGAGATAACTTTTAGTTGTTTTCTAGAGAAATGAAAAAACAAAGAATAAAAATACATCACATAATAATAATAATAATAATAATAATAATAATAATAATAATAATAATAATAATAATAATAATAATAATAATAATAATAATAATAATAATAATAATAATAATCAAACAAATACTTCAACGAAATTGAGTAGAAAAATATTTTGTTGTTTTATAATAAAACAATATTTGATATGATATGCCATTTCAGTTTGATTTTGATTTCGTTATATGATATATATTGTCGATCATTGGTATGACAATAACATACCATACATGACATATACAAATACACGACATTAAACTATATAAGAGAGTTTGACATTTTTTCTCTATAAGGGGACTAATGAGTGGCAATAATAATAATAATAATAAGTACAGTATTAATAATAGTATTATTAATAATAATAGCAATCATCATAAAAATCATAATAAGTTTTAAGTAAACGCACATATACTGTACTCTATATAATATAAAAAAGCAATTTTTTCAATATATATATAATACTTGTGATTATTGATAAAATAAACTAATTCAAGAATCTTTGGCTACTATTATAGTGTTAAAGAATTTTAAAGTAACTGTTATTTTATGGTATACTATGGTATGATATGTTGAAAATTGAACGTATATTTAATGATTGTTCACAATTTCAATGGTTAGGGAGTTTGAATGTCGCCTCAATAAACAACTTTTCCTTTTAATATAGTAATGAGAGGTCGGTGCGCTATCTTTAACATTTCATTAAATATAATGTTGTTGTGGATATTGATATAAAAATTTATATTGGTATAATAATAATAGCGATAATAATAAAGTATATATATATATATATATATATTGGTAAATATATAGATAAATCTTTTGAAAATAATAGCCAAAAAATCAAATCAATATCGATATAACACGTATTATAGATATTTTTTGTGAGACAATTAAATATAGTAAGCAATGCTTCAGAGAGAGAGAGAGAGAGAGAGAGAGAGAGAGATTGAAGAAAAAAATTAAAAGAAAAAAATCTTTAAAAAAATCATTATATATATTATATAGCATCAAATAATATCATAATACGCCATGATTTTATAAGACATAAATTTTTTTATCAAATATTATTTTATTAATACTCTTTTGATACTCAGCTTTCATGATGGGGTAAACCACACACACAAACACACATATACTCATAATACAGTATATATACTGTATAGTGAAATGCACTCTCACACACACATACATATATACAGCAAATACTGTACATAAATAAAAAATTACAGTCTATTACTATTTGTAACTGTATATACCACTGTTATTTCAAAAACTTTCTAAAATTATTTCAAAATTTTTATATTAATTTTGTTATTGTTGTTGAAAATGTATCTATTTTTTTGGTTTTATATAGAGTATATACTTTATATATATATATATAATTATATATCTAACTGATATTTTTTTATACTATATATATATAGTATATATTGCTTTTACTAGATATTTATTGATTAATAGATCATATTATTATTATTATTATTATTTTTCTTTTTTTGAGTTTTACTTTTAGATAGTTAAGCCTTATATATATAAAAAAAAATTGTATTTGTATTTCCAATATTTATACACATATTGGTTGTATGTCTTATATATATTTGACATACTATACGACACACCCATTATATCTCAATGGTATCAATGGATATATTATTAATATTATTGTTGTTGTTGTGATCCCTGATGTCATATGTGTGTATGTCTTATAAATAAATTATATTATGTTTGATGTATTTTATCAAATAATAGTAAAAATCTCTTTTTTATAGACATTTAAAAACAATAGAGTAGTCTTTTCTTATACTAATATTGTTTTTATTTATATATATAACTTTATATTAAGCGATTATATAATGAATAGTTGGTTAGTTTTGATACTTATAATACTTTAATAATACTAATAATAAACTGTTGTACAAAATCTTATATATTAATAAACTTCTATATTTCTAGTGTTTTTTAGCTAATAATAAGTGACCAAAAAAGTCAAGGGTTACGAACTGTTAGTGTCTAACTCAGTCACTCACTGTTGTAAGTAATGTTCAATAATAATAATAATAATAATAATAACACAACAAAATAGAGAGACAGCAAAATGAAAATAAAACACAGTCTAACTGTTTGCTATTATAAAGTAAGTGTTTTTATTTATTTTATTAGTTGAAACAAAAACTGTACTATCTTATATATATACTATATATATGAGATTTTTTGAAAATTAATGTTACATAGCATTGTGTAAAACATTTTTTATATATATATAGTGGTTCATATATATATACATATACTGTATTATAAACCTGTATATACTATTATATATAGAGAAAAATAGTAACATTTTTTTTTGTTTTGTTTTTGTTGGTGAGTCCCTATAGTATGGTTTGGTTTTAAAGTTCACATAATAGTTGAAAAACGGCTCTCAAAAGACTCATTTTTGGTTCACAACTGGAAACACAATTCAACTGATATATCGCTATTGATATGATAGAGAAAGTAGTTTTATATAACTTTTATACAGTATGTGTATATACAGTATCTACTATGTCTACTACAACAATAACTACTACTACTACTGTCTACTGTTATATGCTTTTTTGGACACAACATTATATTTTGATTTTATTTTTTTATATACACACTATTTTATTGACAATTTTTATGGTTTTACAAAATATAGCAAATAAAAGACGAAATAAAGTACAGGAAAAGATTGTTATCAATTAATTTTGAGATCAAATTTTGCTATCTTTTATGGCTTTTTCTCTGCTCTATCTGTCGATAAAATAACAAATTTTATGTGATTTTAATTGTATTATTTTTTCAAATTTTTTATCTACACAATAACAAAATTAATAAATAGCGATAAGCATAAAAATAATTACTTTTTGTTATAATATAATGCTATTTTATACATCACTTGCTGACAAAAATATTAAATAAATGTTTCATTATATTTTATATAATTATATTAGTTTAGTATATTATACAATATAGACTGATCAATACAAAAAATTTTATGAAAAGCTATTATTAGCAATAATTATATTCATAATTAAATATATAATTATATAAATATATTAATACCGTCTATAGTATAGAATATATATATTTATATAATTAGATTAAATTTAATACTTTATTATTATATATATAATATAAAATAAATACTAAAATTAAAACTCCATAAATACAACAAATTTTAATTACAGAATATTCTTATTGTCGTTAAAATTCTGTGTCTGTAAAACACATTTAACTTTTTAAATATATATATATATATATATATATATATATATATATATATATATTCTAGTGTGAAAATCTGTTTAATTTTATTCAAACTTAACTACAGATAAACAAAAACAATAACAAACAAACAAAATTTAGTTTGACTAAAAAAACTTAAATTCAAAATTTTTCTACATTATATATTTTGATTCTGTATTTTATTTTGTTTTATTTAAAAAAAACAATTTTTATTTTAAACAGTTTGCCTCTCATTTTATTGTCTAATTTATTGTTGCACAACTTTTTAAAGTATTGACTATTATTTTATTTTTATTTTTGTAAATCGAAAAAATCCATTAATACAAGACTTGTATAGAATATATTAGAGAATATTTTTATAGTATTTTAAATTAAAAAAAAATATATATAAATTCTTTAATCAAAATTGACATAAAAAGTTTTCTATATTAAAATATACACAATTTATAATTTAGTAAAATGTAATATATTCTAGCTTTATATTAATATATTATATATATATATATATTTGGCAATAATTTATTACTTTTGATTCATTTCTGATTGATTTATGATTTTATAAATAAAAACTAAATCTGAAGCAAATATATTATTATTTATATTGATATAAAATATATAAAATAAAATCAGTGAATAATTAATTAAAATTAGTATATTTAGAATAAAACTTTTTGTTTTTGTTAAAAGTTAGTATATAATAATAATAATAGTATATTTATAATATACTATATTATTTAATATTATATGTCACTAAAAAGTATTTTTAATAAAAATATACTTT